TCAACCAGGATAACCCTTCCCATCTGCCAAGTTCCTTCAGAAAATATCTTCCATTGTCCAACCCATGATCTGACAGCTTGTATCTTAAGCTTTCTGTGATTCCAAAAATGCCGACTGCTGACATTTTTCATTGTATAGGAGATAATTTTTTTACTTTTTTTTTCACTACTGTTCTAAATATTAAATGTTGACTAATGAGGACTAGGGTGTGGAGATGGGTATGGAGGTGTGTGTGTGTGTGTGTGTGTGTGTAAAATACTACAAAATGCCAAACTACTAATATACCTAATATACTATGGTACTAAATATGTGTCTTCGTCCATAAAGGAACAAATAATCAATAAAATGACATCATAAAAACATAATCATGAAAGACAGAGTAAATGATATCCATAGAGACAACATGTTTCTAATAAAAAAGTGGAACATATTCTGATAGGAAGCTTTATTACTGCTTTGGAATTAGAGAAGCAGATTTGGAGATACAACTTGTATGATCCTATAGGATTTTTTTAGTGACTCATGAGATGGCATGAAAACAATTTCTAAAGTGAGGATTATCCCAGTAGGAAGCATGAACACCAAGATAAGAATATATTCAACAATATAGTAAAACCTACACCAAAGCAGTCATTAAGTAGAAGGGATGACAAGGTCTTGGACAAGGTTGGAACAACGTTGTTCTGTATCTCCAAAGGTAATAATATTGGTGTAAGAATACACATTTCTACATGTGTACTTTTGGTGCAAGGTAAGTACTCTGATATGATGATTTAAAATTAATCTCAGGGAGCTCTGGTGGCAAGAAGTTGTGCTGCAAACCCAAAGGCATGTAGCTCAAATCAACCAGATGCTCTGCTGTAGGAGGGGCAATCTCCTCCTGGGCAGGTCAGATCAGATTCAATAATACACAACCAAAACTATAATAAAATAAAATTAATTAATCTCACTTCTTTATATATTGCCTAATGATACATCAGAATTTTATAGGCTTAATAAAAATTATATCTATACATACCTAAAAACAATATTCAAAGAATTCAACTAAAAATGGCTGAAGGATACAAATAGGTATTTCTTCAAAATAAAAATAGCAAATGACCAATAAGTACATGAAAATATGTTCAAGATATTTAGTGGTCATTAAAGAAATGCAGATCAAGACCACCATGAGACAATACTTCAAACCCACTGATGGCTATAATAAAAAAAGGCAGGTAAGAGGTGCTATAAAAATGAGGAGAAAATGGAATCCTTATACACAGGTGGTAGGAATTTAAAATAGTGTATCTGCTTTAGAAAAGTTTTACAGTTCCTCAAAATATTAAATGCATAGTTACAATATGACTAAGAAATTTTACTCCTAGGTATAAATATACAAGAGAAATATAATGTCCTAGAAACAATCCATAGTTCCATAAATTGATGATGAATAAACACAATGTCATATGGCCATACAATGGAATAACATTTAGTCACAAAAAGAAATTGGCCTTTTCTCCTTATCTCCTTTCAAGGAAGAAAGTTCGTCCCTTTGGAAATGTAACTTTCTAATAAATCTATCAGTAATAGTAGTTGTCGTGTACCATCAAGTTGGAACCAATCCATAGCTGACCCTCTGGAGGGTTTTCAGAGGCAGTTAATCACATGGGAGGAGATTGTTCATCTTTCTTCTGTGGAGCACCTGGTGGCCCAGAACCGTGTGCCTTTGAAACTACAGCGCAGCTTCTTGCCAGTAGGCCACCAGAGCTCCCAATAATTATCCTAGCAACATGGATATCATAAGGTTGCTCAAAAATATTATTTAAACTTAATACTTACTTGTTAAGAAAGAGAAAACCCCTTGATGAGATGGATTGACTCAGTGACTGTGATAATGGGGGTAGGTGTGAAAGAGACAATAAGTTTGACACAGGATAGAGAGCTATTGTACATAGGGTCGCTATGTGTCACAAGAGACTCAATGGCATGTAACAACAACATGGCACAACACATAATAAATACTTCACTTACACTAAGTGCAAAGTGGCCATGTAGTGTACATTTACTATATGCCTGGCACTATTTTAATAGTGGCACATTCATTTGTAGTAAGTATTATTACAGATGGGAAAACATCAATTTGTTATGCCCAGGGTCACACAGCTAGTAACAGAACCAGGATTCAGACCCAGGTATTCTGGTTGTAGGCTCTAGCTTTTAATTCGGTGAAAATCATACTTCTTTATGAAATGGAAGTATATTACTTCTGATAAACAAAATTACAGAAATAAAGATAATTCAGTCTAAGAAGTAAAAAATATGACAGCTATTATGTTCCTAAGAACTATTTCCTATTAAAACAAATAGGGAGCTCTGGTAGTTTAGTGGTAAGAAGTTTCACTGCCAATCCAAAGGAACATAGTTCAAATCCACCAGCTGCTCTGTTGTTAAAAGTTAGAGTTCTGGTAGCTTAGTGGTAAGGAGTTGTGCTGTCAAACCAAAACTTCACAGTTGAGGGTCAGCTATGAGTCAGTTCCTCCTCAAGGTTCCGACTCAATGGTACATAACAACAACATTTAAATGTTCTTTCAAGAATTGCAGTATAGACAGATGAGGATACACAAGATAGTAAAAACACATGCAAGCTAAATCTAAATACCTCAAGAAAATGTTATTAAATAACCAAAAATCCATTGCTATCAACTAAAGCAACTCTACAGGACCAAGTAAAGCTGCTCCACGTGATTTCCTACTGTAATCCTTACAGAAGTGGGCTGCCACAACGTCTCCATAGGAGCTGCTAGTGGGTTTTAACTGCCAACTTCTCAGTTAGCAGCTGCACATTTAAACACTGTGCTATCAGGACGCTCACTCTTATTAAATAGGCAACTATAGCTATTGCAATGTAATTTATTGTGCCAACTGATCCAAGAATTTACTAGCTCTCTGCTTCCATTAAATTTCATTTTACTTTTCAAAGGATTTTGCAAAGCCAATTAACAAAACCTGTCAGACATTTTACGTTTTGTTACTGCATTTCTTTTAAACAAAAAAATACAACAATTTTTCTTGATATTTGAGTGAAAGTTTACAAAGCAGCTTGGTTTTCTGTCAACCATTCATGGATACCTTGTTTTATGGTATCAATAACTATCATTTTTAACTGTATACTTCTCACTTTCAGTAATTCTTATTTCTACTCAACAATCTATCCTCTCTTTTCCAGCCTTCTGAACTTTAGGGCAAATACTGTCCTTTTGGTCTTAAATACTGGATTCTTCTAAGAATTGGGTACCTCTCTGGAATGTTATTATGTGCCATGGACGTTTTAAAATTAAAATAGTATGCCTCAAATGCTTTGGGTGATAACACTTTGGAGGCCTTATTTTAGTTAGCAGTGATGTATTTTCAACCTATTACCTTTGAGAATCCAAGTTCCACAAGTAATCTGTCAGCTACAAACTCAATGTATTGTTTCATCAAAACACAATTCATTCCAATGAGACCAACTGGCAAGGCTTCTGTCAAAAATTCCTGGAATATAAACAAACAGAATAGAAAATATGAAGACAGGGCAGTAAGTAAGTGGGCATTTTCCAAAAGGAGAGCTTTAGCTTTATTATAGTTGTGCTTGTATTAGGTGCCGCTGAGCCAACTATCACTCAGAGGAAGCCCATGCTCAACAGACTGGAAGCGTGCCCTATCCTGCACCATCCTCACAAACGCCACCATGCTAGAGCTCACTGTTGCCCTTCTGAGTCCAATCCATCTCACTGATGGACTTCCTCTCTTTCACTGAAGGTCTCTCTTCTACTTCTCCCTAGGACTTCTCCCTAGGACTGACAACATGACCAAAGTATGTGGATGAAGTTTCTGCAATCTTGCCTCTAACTAGCACCCTGGATGCACTTCCTCCAGGACAGATTTGTTTGTTCTTTTGACAATCCGTGGCATATTCACTACCCTTCGCCAAAACCACAATTAGCCTTTAACTTACATCTTTGCTCATTAGCCCTTCAAAGAGGTCCTTGACAGCAGATTTTTCTCAATGTAATATGCCTTTTGATTCCTTGACTGCTGCTACCACATGGATGTTGGTTGTAGACCAAGTAAAATGAAATGGTTGACAACTTCAACCTTTTCTCCATCTATGATGATATTACTATTAGACCAGTAGTGAGGAAGATAAGATGCTTTCTTGATGTTGAGCTGTAGTTCATACTGAAGTATGTATTCTTTGATCATCTTTAGTAACTGCTTTAAATCTTCTTCTCTTTCTGTAAGCAAGATAATGTCATCTGTATAATGTAAATTTTTGATGAGTTCTTCTCCAATCCTGATGCCACATTCCTGATAATGTAGTCTAGCTTCCCAAAACACTTACTCAGTATACAGACTGAATATAGAAATATGATACATCCCTGATGCATAACTTTTCTGATTTTAAACCATGCCGTCAGTGTTCCCTTGTTCCATTAGACAACAGCTTCTTGATCCATGAACAGGTGTAACATTTGCATGACCAAGAGTTCTGGAATTCTCAGCAGGACCATTTCTTCCCAATGGTATCCATTTCTAAGACACTGAACTTATTCACGGAAAATAAACTAGTAGTGATTTTTTCAACATGAAACGTGTTTTTTAAATATTCGTGATATTTCTATTTACATTACTTTCCACTCTCAAAAAGTTACACTAATCTGAAGGAAAATAAGAAATAGACAAAATTCTCACTACTGGACCAATAAGCAACAACACGACAGATGGAGAGAAGTCCGAAATTGTCAATGATTTCATCTTATGGGTTCCACAATCAAGATCCTTGGTACCAGCAGTCAGGAGAGCAACAGATATACTGTATGGCTGTACTTGCTGTGCCTCTGAGAGCTGGACAATGAATTAGGATGAAAGAAGAACTGAGGCATTTGAGTTGTTGTGTTGGGAGAAGAGAAATGAATATCCCATGGACTGCCAGAAGAACAGAAATGTCTTGGAGAAGGCGCCGTCAGAATGCTCTTTGGAGGCAAAGATTACCAAAAAAAAAAAAAAAAGACACCCTCATATTTTGGGAATGTTGCTAAGAAAGGCTATTCCTTGGAAAGGGGCATTACGCTTAAAAAGTGGGTGGTTAGCATAAGAAAGGAAAACCCCTGATAAGATGGATTGACACAGTGACTGTAGCAATGGGCTCGAGTGTGTCAGATTGTGAGGATGGCATAGGATAGAAAAGGGTTCACATTTACTATTCACAGGGTAACCATGAGTCATATTCTATATAACAGCACCTAACAAGCAAGTAGCACATTTACAGGCTAAAATAATAGTTTTTCTCAGCAGGAAAAAAGAGATGATTCTCTATGGACTGGCCCCTCCCATGTTTCTCCAGCAAAGCATCTGATGGATTTGAATCACATGCCTTCAGGACTGTAGCACTGTTTGTTACCACTAGACCACCAGAGCTCTCTCTTGACAACATGCCTCAAAAAAAATCTCATATGAGCCAGGCCAATATAATGTTATTGTTGTTGCTGTTGTTATGTGCTGTTGAGTCAGAATTAACTCATAGCGGACTTTCCAGTGGGTTGTCCAGAGGCTATAAATCACATCATAGGAGACTGCCCAGCTTTACTTCATAAAGCAATTGGTGGATTTGAACTGTGTGCCTTTGGGGTGGCACTGCAATTCCTTATCACTAAGCCACCCAAACTCCAGAACATAAAAACAGTAGCATATATTTTTTTTAAAAAGAGATGTACTAATGGCTTGAGCTTCCCCTTACCTGCTCAATTTTGACAGCATTAACAATAATATCTGTGACCCTTTTTTCTGAAGGCTTATTTACTAAGTACTGAAACATCAGACAAGCAAAATCACAATGAAGCCCCTAGAATGAGAGGAAAAAAAACATTGTCAAATTATGTTCCATCAGCTATTTGCACAACGAGTTGTCAGAGAGCACATGAAGTTTAGGTAAGGCAACACAGAACTTCTGAAAAAGAGGAATTTTTTAAACAATGTTTTTCCTTCAGATCTTATCAAAATACAAATAAAATAATCTGTAACAAAATATTTTTCATGTCAACAAATCTAATTATCATTTAAGCATAATTCAGTAATAGACAAACGATGTCTGCAACCAGAAAAAAGGTTTTGCAAAATAAAAAGAAAAATTAAACAGAGATAAAAGATAAGTTAGATGAGGGGAAAGGCAATATATACTAAGAGGTTGATGAGACATTTAATTAATTACATGAATAAATTATAATGCTATAAAATATGTACAAATGATTGAAAAATAACATGATTTATAAGCTTTCAACTAAAAAATTAATTTTAAAAGGAAAATTCAATTTTTAAATGTAAAAAATTATTAAATAGTGACTGAAAAAAAACAGTAAGAAACATTTAAAGGACAAGTGAAATATTCTCAGATATTTCAAGAGAGCAAATATGTTAAATAAGAACAGTTCAAGATAAAAATGAATTCAGCTAAGTGAAACCAAGAATTAAGAACACATTTGAAGCTATACAAAGAGAAGAAATTGAACCACAGGTAACTGGGAAAAAACAACTTTGGTAAATACCCTGAGATTAGTGATATGCAAATAAAAGTCATAGAATCTTGGACAGATTTGTAGAGCAGAGAAAGAAGATGTAATCTACAATAATCAGGATTCTAAAACACAGCACAGATGGTAGAAAGCTACTAGGCAAAATAACAACAGAAGAAAATTTTCAAATATTGAAAACAAAGAGAAAGGGACAGAGACAGAAAGATGACGTTTACCAAAAAATCGCCAAGACTGACACTCTGACACAATGAACATATCTAAAAGTCACTGCCATGGAATCAGAACTGGCAGATAGCTGGCCTGCCTTTGGATTTGCAAGGCTGCAAGCAACACTGGAGGAAAATGCTCATCTTTCTTCCTCAGTCATAGGTGGCTTCCAACCACCAGAGAGGAGAGGTATGCCCTGTGGCACAGCATATTTTACATTTTAAGTAAAAGTATATGACACTGTATACTGTGTCACTGCATCTTAACAAAACTGTTAAGGTTGTATATGAACTCTAAAATTTGAGCTACTGGCATGACTGAAACAGGGTGACTCGAGGATTAAATTAAAAGTCCATTTGAATCAAACGGTCTCTGACCTAGAAACTTATGATTTTGCTGAAAAGACAATTCAATCTTATTGTCAAAGCTTAACTGCTGGAAAAACAAAGAAGTTGTAGGAGCCACAATTTCTGGCTTAGGTGAAGAATTATTAGTTTAAAATGCCTGTTTATTTACTCAGCTTGATATAAAAGACTAGCTTTTCCAATTACACACATTCAAAGGTTAGGACACAGAATTGGAATTGTAAAGGTTAAGACAGTAACTACCTCTTAACTGTAATGAGGGTGAAGCAAGAACCAATTAAGCAAGTCTCACGCCTGATTTTCTGACTCTCACGTTAGATTTAATGTAAATACTGAGATCTTCTAATCAATTTCTAGTAACTCTTTAATACAGACTAAGTATCTCTGACCTGATGAAAACTCTCTCTCTCTGCACAATGTAGAATACACAAGAACCATAAGAAAAATAAGTAAGACAATGTCCCTGCATTCACGGAAAGTAGAAATGGTTCAGCAGCAGAGTGCTCCACTACCATGTAGGAGAGTCAGGTTCAGCTCCTAGCAATTAATGAAGGTCTGTGTGTTGCTATGACACTAACAAGTATTTAGCAGATGAATCAATTAAAATGCCATAACAAAAATGGTTTCTAGCAGTTCACGGAAATGGTGCTGAATCAGGTATGGGGTCACTACTGACTTGATAGCAGCTAATCTGTATTCAGGGAGGAGAGGTAAGTGCAATATTATGTTGAAGACTAAAATACAAATAGGTTCACATTTCAAAAGGATGTTGTTGTTGCTGTTGTTGTTATGTGCCGTTGAGTCACCAGTGACTCATAACGACCCTATGCACAATAGCCCTAAACCCTGCTCTATACCATGCCAATCTTACTGTCTCCAATACACCTACCCCCATTATCCCAATCACTGAATCAATCCACGTCATAGAGGGTCTTCCTCTCTTGCACTGTCCTTCCACCCTCCCAACCATGACATTCCTCTCCAAGGACTGCTCCCATCTTGCAACATGTCCAAAGTATGTCAGATGAAGCCTCAGAATCCTTGCCTAGAAGGAGCAGCCCAGCTTCACCATCTCCAGAACAAACTTGTTTGTTTTTCTAGCAGTGATGGTATATTCAATACTCTTCTCCAGCACCACAGCTCAAAGGCATCAATTTGCCTTTTATCACCCTTAGTCACTGTCCAGCTTTCTGATTCATAGCAACTAATTGCAAAGACAATGGCCTTTATCAGGCACACCTTTGTCTCTAGACTGACATCATTGCTTTATAGTACTTTGGAAAGGTCTCTGTCAGAACTTTACCAATGCAATTCATCTTTAAATCTCCTGGCTGCTGGTGCCAAGAGTGTTGACTGTGGAGTCAAGCAAACTAAACCTGTTAACAACCTCAACCTCTTCACCATCCATCATGATGCTGCCAATTGGCCCAGTGGTGAGAATCTTTGTTTTCTTGATATTGAGTCTCAATCCATGTTGAAGGCTGCAGTCCACGGCCTTCTGCAGCAAGTGCTTCAGGTCCTCCTCAGTTTCAGCAAGCTGGGTTGTGTAATCTGCATAATGCAGATTATTGAGGAGTCTACCTCCAAGCTTGACCCCACATTTCTCCTCACAGAGCCCAGCCTCCCAGATCATCTGTTCTGCAGATAGATTGAAAAGATGGAGATAGGACACATCCTTGGTGCACACCCTTCTCAATTTTGAACCACGCACTGTTCCCTTGCTCTATTCTGACGACTGCCTCCTGGTCCAAGTACAGGTTTCACATAAGCACGATCAAGTGTCCCGGGATTCCCATTCTTCTTAGGGTCAACCAGAGTTTATTGTTATCTACACAGACAAATGAAACACAGATAAACATTCCTCTGGTACTCTCTGCTTTCAGTCAAGATCCACCTGACATAAGCTATAATATCCCTAGTACCAAGGCCTCTTCTCAACTCAGCCTGCACTTCAGGAAATTCTCTACTGATGTGCTGTCCCAGTCTTTTTTTTTTTTTTGTATAATCTTCAGCAGAATCTTGTTTACATGTGATATCAGTGATACAGTGATTCAATAATTTCTACACTCTGTCAGATAACCTTTCTTTGGAATGGAACAAATATAGATCTCTTCCAGTCAGTTGGCCAGGCTGTTGTCCTCCAGATTTCTTGACACAACTTGGTGAGCACATCCAGGGCAGTGTCTGTTGGTTGAAATATGTCAACAGTATGTCATCAATTCCTGGGGCTATATTTTTTGCCAATTCTTTCGTAGCTGCTTGAACTTCGTCCTTCATCACCACAGACTCTTATTCATTCTATGTTTCATGAAATTCTTCTGTGTCCACCAATTCCTTTTAGTACAATGACTCTGTAAACTCTGTATATTCTTTCCATCTTATTTTTTTTCCCATCTTCTTTAATGCTTCCTGGATCATTCAATATTCTGCTCAAAGCATTATGGGAAGGAAATCAAAGGGTGAAAACAAAGTGGTACATAAGTGGCCAGGGTATCACAGGCAGAGGGAACAATATGAATCATAGCAACACAGCACAGAACAGAAGGATTCTGAGCAGGCAGGTAGCTGCAGGAGAGGCAGATCAGGCAAGGTCATGCAGGACTCTTTTGCCAACTGAAGAGCTTGTTCTTGATCCTCAAAACAAGAGTTTTTCATTTAAAACTTCAGAAAGATTAAAAAAAAAGCAGTATTATGATGCCACTGTCGTAGAATAGGTCTGAAATCAGGGTTGGGGTAAGACTGAGAAAAAACTGGATAAATTGTGTAAACTGTATTGAAACAGATGACGGAAAGAACAGATTAGAGGCAATATATGATTGAGTATTATGGTTAACACAGGAATCCAGAATTAAGGTTGCATGGAGAAGTGTACTTGGTACGGGGGTCAGGGGAAGGGATGGGGGAATTGTATACCAATGAAGGAATTTTTTTTCTTTTTCTTTTCAAAGAAAGGAGCAAACTGATGGGGAGGGGTGGGCAGGGAGAAAAGTGCAGCAATGAATGAATGGCAATCCCAAATCTCTGCAAATGTTTATGAAAATTAATAAAACAAAAAAGCAGTATAAAAGATGAGCTGGTGGTCTTAGGTATAGAAACCAACCATAGAGCATAAGGAATAAAAAGTATGAACTAAGGAAGTCATGAGAATGAGTAAATTGTCAAGAAAGTACAGAAATGAGATTTAATTACTAATAACATAAGGCTGGAAAAACAAGAGATGCAATCTCAAGTGACTCCTAGATTTCAAATCTGGAAACAGAAAAAATGAAAAGAAGAATAAATTTTTGGAGAAATACTAGATTTCATATCTATGGAGATATCCAGGAAATAACTTCATAAAGTGTATCTGAAAATGTAAGTTTGTAGCTCAGAAAGATTATCTGAGCAAAAGGCAATGTTTTGGTAATTATGAACACTTACATGGTAGTGAATTCCATGGAAATAAATGATATCAGCCAGGAAGTTATGTACCACAAAGGAAAGAAGCCACAGTCCGAATCAAGAGTACAGTGATATTTTATGCTGAGTGAAATATCTCAGTCACAAAGGGACAAATACTGCATGGTGCCACTGTTGTGGAATGGGTCTGACATCAGGGTGGGGGTATGACAGAAAAAACTGGATAAATTATGTATATTGTATTGAAACAGATAAGGGAAAGAACAGATTAGAAGTGATATATGATGAGTATTATGGTTAGCACAGGAATCCAGAATCAAGGTTGCATAGAGAAGTGTACTCGGGGTGGGGGGTGGGGGGAAGGGATGTGGGAATTGTATACTAATGAAATAATTTTTTTTCTTTTTTTTTTCTTTCTTCGGAGGGGGAAGCGAGCTGGTGGGGAGGGGTGGGAAGGGAGAAAATTGCGGCAATGAATGAATGGAAATCCAAAACCTCTGTAAAAAAAAAATAAAATAAAAAATTATTAAAAAAAAAAGAGTACAGTGATATTTAAGGATAAATGCAGGAAACGAAGAATGAAACGTAAGCAAAGAGGAAGATACAGTGTCTTAAAAGCCAAGAAAGGAATAAATTATTGCTTTCTTTTCATTAATAGGATATGTGGGAAAGAAAAAGAAACAATCCCCAAATATGAAAACAAAATAGCTGGGAGAACATTTCATTCCTTACTTCATCTCTGCTGATGAGTTCATTGGAAAAAGTGAGTCCAGGCATAAGGCCTCTCTTCTTCAGCCAGAAAATCGCAGCAAAAGATCCAGAGAAGAAAATTCCTTCTACAGCCGCAAAGGCTACCAACCTTTCCCCTGACAGACAAAAAATTCATTTCAACTTATGAAATACCACATAATAGAGAAATTTTCAAATTGAACATCTATTTTACAATACCACAATGGTTTTTCCGAGACACAAAATGATAACTGAGCATCATGACTGTGGTGTCAAAGGTTTATCACTCAAACTGTCTTTCCTAGCCATAGATTTACTGTTTATTTTGTGCTGAAGCATTTATTGTAATACAGAGAGAGGATTAGAGTGGGATACAAGCCCCACCCTACTAGAGGCTTATATAAGCTCACAAAACCTCAGTGCTAGCTCTCCTTTTCAGACACCAGTTTTCCAGCTACACTGCAAATGACAGTCTACATCACTCACCAGTCTCTGCAACATGGGCCTGCATCACCTATAGTGGTGACAGTCATTCCCCTCATGGTTCTGAGTCTCTGGGAGACCTTCCAGTGAACCCCAAGTCCAAGGCCACAGAGAAGTAGAGAAGACTGAGTAAAGGAGGGAATGCTGATTTCAGAAATTACAGAGTTCTACAGCAAATCAAACATGTAAGACACTATTAACTCTGAACTTCTTGTAACTTGCAATCTTAGAAAAACAAATTATGAGTGCAATGACCAAAGTTCTTCAAAGGAAGGAATTTGCTTCCTTTGATCTATTACAGCAGAAAGGCATGTCCACTTCTAAGCTTGTTGTGAGACACTGAGCTGCTGCTACTGTAGGCCAGGGTATCTGGAAAAGGATACACAATAAGATATGTGATTTACTTGTGTGCCCAATGTCTAAGTGTATAAGGACACACATCTGACTGTATATTGAAGAACAGAAAGTAGAAATAACTGCCTTTATCAATCTCAAGAGGCTGAAGTCGCAGGTGGCATATTTACTTCAGCAAATTGCAATCACCAGCTGGTTCAAGGGAAGTACAGGTGTGTGACTAAGCAAAATAGTATTTCCTGTTACTGTCTTTAGCATCAAGGAGCTCTGGCAGCGCCCTAGTCTGCAAAGAAGCAGCGCCTCTCCAGTGGTTTGAACCTACCAGCAGATCCATGGGAGAAAGATGGGCAATCTCCTCCTGTGCAATTTACAACCTCCAAACACCTGCTGAAGGGTCAGCTATGAGTTAGTGGTTCTGACTCAACAGCAGTGAATGAGTCTTCAGTTCCACTCTCCAAAAAAAAGCAAGCCACCAGTAAGTATTCTCTAATCACTACTTACGGCACTACCACTATAACAAGAGATGTCGCTCTGTTGATGACATAAAGCAGAGCCCTAAAGGATGTTCCCTGAGATTTAGCCTTATAGAGAACCGACCGGGAGTCCCCGATATAGTCTCATGGTGACTTCCGTCCTCCTCTGTTTCACTATTTCTAAAATGTCTTTTTTTGGTTATTGTATGAATTAACTGACTTCTCTAAGTTTTGCTTTCCTTCAGTACCAATCTATACTTTTACGTATGTTGTAATTGTTGTTGTCATGTATCATCAAGCTGCAGCTGACTCTTCAGTGGGCTTTCAGAGTCAGTCAACAGCAGGGGAGACGACTGCTTATCTTTCACCTGTGGAACATCTGATGGATCGGAGCCACAGCTTTTTACCACTGCGTCACAAGAGCTCCCTAATACACACATAGGACATACTAAACACTTTGCTATATCCCTGCCTTTTCATCTTATGATTTTCGCAAAGCATGCTTTCCCAACAGCCCGTGAGAGAATTAACTAGGAGTAAAATGCAGACCCTTCAGTCCTACACCCACCCACCCTGTAAAAACCCACTGCTGTGAAGTTGCTTCTGGCTCACAGCAACCATAGAGGAAACAGCAGGGTCTCAGAGGGTATAAATCTTTACAAAAGCACATCTTTCTCCTTCAGGCAGGTAATGGATTTGAACTACCAGTTAACTAGTTAGCAGCTGGCCTCCTAAATGACTTGGCTGATGATCAAGATTCTTAAGGGTTTTCTTTTCGTTTTTCACAAACACACGTTTCTTCCCTGACATACTATACACTTATGATACCTTACAAAGAGTGGTCCCAGGACTCCTGCGGGTTCCTGAGAAACTTTCAAGTCTGGGAAGATAAAATTACTTTTCAAAGGACTAAGGCACCATTTGTCTTTTTCAAAACCATCTTTCATGAGTGTTGTTTTCTCAGATGTTATGTGACATATACTCAATAATCTGAAAAAAACTAATACTCCTTTTTCTAACTACAAGGAGCTCAGGTGGTAAATTCTGTAGTGAGCTTTGTTTCTGACCTAGATCACACGTCACCAGTGGTTCAAATCCTCCAGCAGCTTCTTGGGAGAAAGATGGGCAGTGTCCTCCCAAAAAAGATTTACAGCCTTGGAGACCTTATGGAGAACTATTAGGAGTAAAAACCAACTAAGTGGCAGTAGGTCTGATTTACGAGTTTTCCAACCTCATATCTGAAGCTAAATTCTATTCAAATACTTCAACCAAAACAATATACTTCAACAAATTACAAATTGAACACAGACACAGATCAGAATATCCAGCTATCTTCTATAATGTCAGGCATTAAAAAGATCTGCCGAAATTTAAAACCACATCATCTCTCTCCTTGGCACTATTTTTGGGAAAAGTCTTTTGGGGAAAAAAAGTTAGCTATAAGCAGAGAAAGAAACATTCCTTTGATAATTACCAGGAATGGGAGTGAAGGTGGAAGGAAGGGAATATTAGTAACTAGATAAAAGACACATTAAGATGGGTGGATGGAAAGGCAAGAAGCAAAAAACTGTACTAAAATAACGGTGAATTATTATTTTTAAATGGACTAATAAATATTTTTAAATCTCCTAGTTTTAATTTCTATAAATGCAGATAAAATCCACATAAATAAGTCCTAAATAATGTTTTAGGGTGCAAAAAAGTCCTAAAACCAGAAATTTTGTAAGTTCTTCCCCATATAATAAAATCACATAAAGACCACCATGTAATATAAAGCAATGGGAGAAGGATCTCATGCATTACTGTCAAACTGATTTCAACTCAAAATGACCCTACAGGACAGAGTAGAACTGGCCCATGGCTTTCTAAGGCAATAAATCTTTACAAAGCAGGCCACCACAGCTTTGTCCCATAGAGCAGACTGATGACTTCAAATCACCAATATTCTGTTTAGTAGCCTGATGTTTAACCCACAAAGCCTCTAGGTTTTGTGGGGCAATAAAGAGTTGATCAAATTAGGTATCTAGGTATTTTAATTAAATTTAATAAATACATATGGAGAAACTATTAAGTAGAAGATACAATATTCATTATTTTCTTTTAAAAATTACTACAGTAATGAATACTGCACTGGAATAGGTAAAAGGAAGGAGAATGGATAATTAGAAATTATGTGTATAATATCACAAATAGCCTGAAATAGGACAAGCATTACAAATGGAACTGGGGAAGGGGAAGGAAGGAAAATGTGCATGAGTAGATGAATGAAAACAAATATTTTGTGAATCTTCACAAAAACAAATTTTTTTAAATGTACTAGAATGCATCTTATCTAGAAAGGTATTTACCTTTTTTTACCTTATCTGGGAAAAACAAGACTTTAACAGTAAACTGTTTGCTACCTTGATTTAACTGCATTAATATTTCCTTTTTTTTAGAAATTAAATATTTTAATTTTCTTAAAATTCTAAATAAACATTCCTGAAGCAGGTATAAATTGTGGATTGCTGTAATATTCCTGTCTGATTATATGTGACTCTTATTTACCTATATATAATTACACACTAACATCTTAACCTTTCAACTTATAAAAAAATAGGTAATAGCTTTCAATTATTTTACAAGTTTCTAATAAATTACTACAGATAATGACTACATTAAAGGGCATGTCAGACATTTAGATACTGGTTTATGCTATGACTTTGATTGGCACTGTTGTTATGTGCTGTCGAGTCGCTTATGACTCATAGCAAACCTATATACAAGAGCCCTATACCCTGCTCTATCCCGTGCCAACCTCATTGTCTCCAACACACCTACTCCCACTACCCCAATCACTGAATCAATCCATCTTTTTGAAGGTCTTCCTGTCCTGTGCTGTCCCTCCACTCTCCCAACCATGATGAACCTCTCCAAGGACTGGTCCCTCCTTGCAACATGCCCAGAATATGTCAGACAAAGCTTCAGAATCCTTAACTTTAAGGAACAGCCCATCTTCACCCTTTCCAGGACAAACATGTCTGTTCTCCTAGCAGTTCTGGTATATTCAACACTCTTCTCCAGCACCAAAGCTCAAAGGCATCAATTCTCTACATCCCTAGTCACTGCCCAGCTCTCTAATGCATAGCACACAACTGCGAAGACTACAGCCCAGATCAGGCACACTTTAATCTCCAGCCTGACACCATTGCTCTTCAGTACCCTGGTGAGGTCCCTGACAGCTGACTATTCCCACTGCAATTCCTCTATTGATTTCCTGGCTGCTGGTATCAAGAGTGTTGACTGTGGAGCCAAGTAAACTAAAACTGGTAAGTATCTCAATCTCTTCGCCACCCATACTGATGCTGCCAATTGGCCCAGTGGTGAGAATATTAGTTTTCTTGATGTTGAGCTTCAATTCACATTGTAGGCTGCAGTCCTCGATAATATGCAACAAGCGCTTCAGGTCCTCCTCAGTTTCAGCAAGCAGGGTTGTGTCATCTGCATAACGCAGGTTGTTGATGCCACATTCCTCCTCGTACAGCCCAGCATCCCAGATGATCTGTTCTGCATACAGATTGAAAAGGTACGGAGACAGAATACATCCCTGGCAGACACCCTTCCTGATTTTGAACCATGCAGTGTCTCCTTGCTCTGTTCTGATGACTGCCTTGGTCCAAGTATAGGTTTCGCATAAGCACAATCAAATACTCTAGGATTCCCATTCTTCTCAGAGTCAGACACAGCGTGTTGTGATCCACACAGTCAAAAGCCTTTGCTTAGTCAGTGAAGCACAAACAGACATTCCTCTGGTACTCTCTACTTTGTACCAAGATCCATCTAACATTAGTTAGAATATCCCTAGTACCACGACCTCTTCTAAACCCAGCCTGCACATCAGGCTCTGTTGACGTGTTGGTCCAGTCATTTTTTTATCATTTTCAGCAGAATCTTGCTTGAATGTGATATTAGTAATATTGTTCAATAATTTCTGCACTCTGGCAAGTCACTTTTCTTAGGAATGGGAATAAATATCGATCTCTTCCAGTCAGTTGGTCAGCTGGCTGTCCTCCAGATTTCTTGGCACAACTTAGTGAGCATATCCAAGGCAGCGTCTGTTTGTTGAAATATGTCAACTGGTATACCATCAACTCCTGGAGCCTTGTATTTTTCCAATTCTTTCAGAGCAATATGAACTTCCTCTTTCATCACCACAGGCTCTTACTCATACGTTATTTTATGAACTTCTTCTGTGTCAGCCAATTCCTTCTGGTACAGTGACTCTGTATATTCCTTCCATCTTCTTTTAATGCTTCTTGGATCATTTAACACTCTACCCACAGCATCCTTAAATACTGCCAATGTGGCTTGAATTTGTTTTTCAGCTCCTTCAACTTAAGAAACGCTGAGTAAGTTCGGCCCTTTTGATTTTCTGATTCCAGCTCTTTCCATATTTCATTATAGCATCTTGCTTTGTCGTCCCGAGCTGCCCTTTGAAATTTTCTGTTCAGCTCTTTAATGTCTTGATTTCTTCATTTACCTTTGGCTTCTCGGTGCTCTAATGCAATATTCAGAGTCTAATCTGACATCCATCTTGGTCTTTTCTTCCTCTTCAGCCTCTGTAATGATCTTTTACATTCTTAATGGAAGATATTCTTGATATCCTCCCACAGCTCATTCGGTCTACACTCATTTGTGCTCAAGGCCTCAAACCTGTTCCTGAGGTGGTTTCGAAATTCAAGTGGGATAGACTTAGGGCCAAATTTTGGTTCCCGTGGATTTCATTTTCTTCAGCTTGAACTTGCACATGAGTGGTCTGTCCCACAATCAGCACCTGGCCTGGTTTTCACAGCTGCTGATACTGAGCTTCTCCAGCGATTCTTTCCACAAATGTAATCTATTTTATTCCTATGCATACCACAGGTGAAATCCATGTGTATAGCCTGCACTTCTGTTTCTTATAAAAGGTGTTTGCAATCAATCACTGAATGTGTAGAATTCTATTATTTTCTCTCCAGCCTCGTTTCTGTCACTGAGTCCATGTTTTCCAACTGATCCTTCTTCCCTTTTCCCAACTTTTGCATTCCAGTTGCCCATTATTATCAATGCATCCTGATCGCATGTTCAATCAATCTCTGACTACAAAAGTTGGTAGAAATCTTCCATTTCCTCCTCTCTGGCTCTAGTTGTCAGTGCATATATTTGAAAGATAGTGGTATTCACTGGACTTCCTTGTATGCTTATGGATATTATCCTGTCACTCACCACACTGTATTTCATGATGCATCTAGAAATGACTTTTTTAATTATGAAACCAACCCCATTTTTTCCTCACCTTGTCATCCCGGGCATAGTAGCTCATATGATCATCTGATTCAAAATGTCCCATGCCAAGCCATTTCACTTTGCCAATACCTAGTATGCCAATATTTATGCATTCTATTTCTTTCTTAACAACATCCAATTTTCCTACATTCACGCTTCTCACATTCCACATTCCAATCACTATTGTCTACTTACAGCTGTTCCTCCTTCTTTGCGTTTTCCTATCTGCGATCTCAATCTCAACTTCCATGTATGCTAGTCTAAGTGCTAATCTAAGTGTGCTCTATTGTGTCGTATCACCAGAGATATATTTGTTTACATAGAAATTAAAGCTACATACCAAAAGTAGATTCTCTATCTGCTATCCATTTCAAAGCCCAATCTGCCTTTTTCTTAACATAGGGCATTGTTTCAATCGCATTAAATAAAAATTCCCTAAAGAAACAAAAGAATGAATAGTAATGTTATTTACATGGTTTTTCTTAACTTAAATTTTCAGTTTAATCATAGATAATGTCACTGTTTGGTATGCTACTGTATGAAACTGTAGTTTCTCCATATTTTTAATATGTTTATAAAATACAAAACTTAAAGCAAAATTCAGATTTAGATGACATAAGAATAATAACAATAAATTGATTAAATTAAAATATCCCATTTCTAAATATAATGTACTAATGAATCTATTGGGTTTTTTAGAGACACAATTATCTAAAGATTAATTAGTTCTATACAAAGTTCTTTGGGTTGTTTTTTTTAAGGCAACATGTTATTTAAAAATAGAAAGCAGACTTCTTACCACCTATACCTAAATAATCCATTCTAAACTTTTGGTTTGGGAGTAATATTATGCTCTTAATAAAATGAAGCTGTAACTCTTTGTAGATAAAATCTCAACTGTAATACCTTTTTTTGGGATCTCTGATATAAGTATCTATTAGCAAACTGTACATTTCTGAGTGAACATTCTCGATAAGAATTTGAAAGCCATAGAAACAGCGAGCCTCTGGAACTTGGACCTCTTGACTGAAACGTTCCACCTAATAAGGAAAAAAAAACAGATTAATCCAATTCTGTGGGCTCTCCTTAAACATTGCTAGACAAAATAGTAAAGGGCTCTAGCTGTGTGATGTTTTTAAGTGTTGCACTGTCAATCTGAAGATTAGTGGTTCAAATCCACCAACCCCAACTTCTTAGACGAAAGATGAGCAATCTCCCATGAAATTTATAGCCTCAAAAATCCACAGGAGGGTCAGTTATGAGCCTGTTCCAACCCAACTTGCATCAAGTGAGTGAGTGACCCCAATCGAGGGTCGCCATGAATTAGAATCAACTCAACAGCAGTAGGTCTGGTTTGGTGTTCAGAACCTCAGTATCAAAATTACCACTTAAAAACTGTCTACCATGTTACAAATAAGTCAAAAAGAACGTATGATTTACTTCAAGCAATATTCCTTATCAATTCTCAACAATTTAGTACTTAGAGGTTTTTTTAATGTATTTATTTTTCTTTACTAATGTATTCTATTGATTGCTTAACAAATGAATTGACCAACAGGTGGAAATACTGTGTATAAACCAAATACATTTTAGCACATCTACCAAAAAAGAATACTTTTTATTCTTTTATAATTGACCATAAGTCCTTTTTCCCCCAGTAGAGGACAGATCAATCACTTAACTGCAGTTTTTGTTTTTTTTTAGTTTGGGATGAAAGTTCTAACCTTTGTATTCTCTTTAGAAAGTATGCTTCCTGACCAACCATAACTGAAATTTTTAAAAGTAGAGCCAGAATCAAGTACTCTACTATAAATCACTTTGTTGTTGTTTAATGCCGTCGAGTCGTAGACGACTCATAGCAACCCTATGAACAAACAGCCTGAGCACTGTTCGTACATAGTTTCCGAAGGCAAGCCATTTTGGAAGTGGATGCCGCTCCTGCTTCCAGGCTTGATTTATTCGGGAAGCTCCAGCCAACACTGTCCACCATGGGTACCCATTACCATGATTGGCACATCACTGTCACAGGCTTCAGCATCACA